GAACTTCTGACCTTTAAATCTAAATCTTTTAATAGACCTTTAAATTACACAAAAAGCAAAGCACCAGAAGCTAAGCTATGCATTGTAATAGTAACCAATGAGATAGTACCATAGAGTATCAGAATCAGCCATTGCTTACTATATGGTAGCCTTCTATTGCTTAACATTCTGTTGAAGACAATGACATATCTAAAGCTAAAACTGTATTTCATGTTTGGATAAAGTAAGACGTATCAGAACCCTTACCTGCATTATCTGGGGAGATTTCCTGTCACTTCCTGTTCTAAAGACACAAGAACCAAGGGGTAATCCTCTTGGGCAATAAACGCAGGAACAGGTGTCCACCCCAAGATATTTGCTCTCACCTTCTGGTCCTGTAATCTTTCGGATTTCCCACCATTTTGACAATGGTCACCAGGAAAGGTCTTTGCAGTTGTTGGGGCTACGAAAGAAACCAGGCTGGAGACAGCAGGCTGATGGTCCAAATGCAGGGTAGTGCTTCCTACATAAAATAAGGGGCGGAATTACCTCTTGTAATTATGAGGCGACGGTAGGAGATTGTGGTGCCTCAAAGTCAAAATCAATCGGAGATGGTCACTGCAACCAATGGCCCAGTCTGTTCTGAAGGCTCAGGTAGATCAGCTGAAAACTGAACAGCACGTTGGGGTTGACATGGGTCTAAGTCCCCCTCACGTGGATGTTACTCCAGAGGAAGCAGTCACGGACTGAAACACACCAGAGGTCGAGTCACAGCCCTGGATCTGTACAGCGATTTGAGTACAAACCAGTACACAGGGTGTCTGGCGAGCACCCCAAAGAGAGCCCAGTGTCTGAAGGTCACATTTCAGGCAAGCCCTGCCAACTTTAGTCTTGTGTTGTCCAGATACATCCTCCAAGGCGGTGCCGATGATCAGCCGATTCCGATAGCTGCTGTGTAGAGGCCAGCTCAAGCAGCTTACCGAAATCAGAACTGAAGAGAACATCTGCAAAGTACAGAGAATGACGAGAAGAGAAAAATAGAACGTTTTTAACTGAGAAAACATCCGACCTCCTTGGACACTGGCAAAAAACCGGAAGTGTAGGGGTGAGATTATGGTGGGTAGACAGCCATTGTTTTTGGCCTGTGTCAACTTCCTGCAAAACCCACGTCTCCAAATACCTCCGCCCTGTGCGTCAAAGAGACCGCTTTATTAGTTTGTGACATCACCAGACTTGTAGAACTCCTTCTGGGGCATCTGCTGGGTGGAAGGTTCCTACTGATGCAAGTACAACCTCAGAACTACATCTCCTTTTCCTATACGCAGTATTGGGGCAGGCTCTTGGGAGACGAGGCAGAAGAACTGTCTTGTTGGGAAAGATAGTGGGATGAAGTGGGGGACAGGCAGAGTTTAAGTGCAGCAGGCAGGGCCGACAACGCTGCTTGGAATTGGAATTTCAGTTATTACACAGGATGTATATAGCGCCAACAGTTTGCGCAGCGCTCTTCAATATAAAGGAAGACATTACAATTCAGCAGAGGGACTCTATTGTCAGCCCAAACTTTAGGAGCACACTTGATTTTTGGCAGACCACCAGGTATTTTTTTTATGTGCTGTGCAGCAGGGATAACGCAATGTGTACGTATTACAGAGGTGTACTGAAAACCTACAGCAACAGCCTTGGGGAGGCCTTCAATTAGAAAACTAAAAACAAAACATCCTTCAAAATTGCAAAACCCACTTTTACCGTCAAGCCATCAGGGATGCACAAAAAAACATTGACACGGACAACGTAGAAGTTACGAATTTATTATTTACACAATTTGTAAAGTACACAAATACAGTAGTGATACAAATTGTTGTTGGAGCAATAAGTATCAATGTACAGGAACTTCTCCCGATCCCAGGAAAACATTCGGTCATTTTATGGCAAAAGAAAACGAGGGAATGAACGCGCCCCTCGGCTGGAATAGACAACGCAAAGACCTTGTGTACAGTGGTTAAAAAAAGTCGGTCAGTTAACAGGACGTTCACAGATATTTACAAAGAAAAAAGAAAAGCACGCTGTGAAGAGAATCGTACGGAAAAAACATGGGACATGCGCAAAAAAAAAGTCTTACAGGTTATACTAGCATACAAGGACAACTCCTTCCGGGACAAGCCTCACATTTTTTTTTTTAAGAAATAGTCAGTAAAACTCCCTTACAACAAGAACACAAAAGCCCTACCTAGTACTGTAAATACCCACCTAACACACTCCTGTACCATATAAAGGATCGCTGTGAAGGCTACAGAAGGAAGACAACCCTTTTAAAAACACAACCAAAAGACCACATCGAACATTTGAAACCCGCCCCTTCCCCTCCCACCTCCCGTTAGCCACACCCACCCATCACAAAATTTAGACATTTCGGAAATATTGCAAAACATCCTTCCCGTGGGCAACCCCATCTTATGAGCCAACACCTCGGACGAGGGTGCCGCTGATCATTGTACATGAAGGGCGCACATGGGTACAAGTTTATGTCAACTCTACGAACACTGAAGTGGCCTTCAAAAAATAGGATTTTTGACTCGCCGGTAAAACTAGTTTCTTGGAATACAGTACAAAATACAGACCGATTCAGAAATGACGGTGTAATATGCAGGTACCATCAGGTGACTGGGCACTGGCCAGAGCTATGGGGGCCCTCGCACAACCTCTTCCACTCCAGGAAATCCTCAGTATTTTAACATGCAATGGAGGACACGAGAGAGGAGGGTGCCGTGTCCTGTGCAGTACCGATAAGTCAAAACCTGATTTTCTTGATCGCACAGTACAGGACACAGGCAGACTCGGAGACAAATAGGACATGCACAAGCAATGCACTAAAGGGATGGACAAAACAACCGCCAACAGGCTCATAACAGAAAAACAAGGGGGGACATTCCACTTAGCAGCTTGGAGCACCTTATGGCCAAAACTTGCATCAGCAGAGGCACAAACGTCCACTTGGTAGAACTTGGAGAACGTGTGAACAGAAGAGCAGGTGGAAGCTTTACAAATCTGCAACAAAGATGCCTAAAAGCCCAAGAGGCTCTGACCAATCTAGTGGAATGAACCCTCATAGGGAAAGCCAGAGTCTTACCGTTGACAGCGTAAGCATGCATGATGACCTATCTAATCCATCCAGAAATGGTGAAGTGAGAAGCAGGGAGCCCCCTGCGAGGTCCTTCAGGAAGGACAAAGAATCCGATTGTTGCAAGGAAACTGTAACCAAAAGAAACTCGGACAGTCCTAACCACATCCAAAACAGTGGAGAGCCACCTCCTTGAGGAGTTTCAGAGCCAGACAAATGGAAGGCAAAACAATGTCCTCATTAAGCTGGAAGGACGACACCACCTTCAGCAAAAAAGGAGAGATACCTCAAATTAGGTTCACAGGGAGATTCCCGGAGACACAAAAGAACCATATTGAGGTCCCATGGTGACGCTGGAGGGCATCTAGGAGGAGCTACAGGAGATACCCAGAATAAAGGCCTTTACCAAGGAATGCAACACCAAGGGCCACTGGATAAGAATGGCTAATCCTCCCGCACAGGGCAGCATCTGGTTCCTCCTTGGTGGAAGATGAATGCCACGGCCGTGGCATTGTCAGACTGAACCCTGATTGGTAGCCCTCTGGAAAAAACACCGTGTCCTAGGTACACTAAACAGTGGGTCTTCAGGGACGGGGGTCACACCATTGTGGCTATGGCACTGCCCTGGACCTGTAAAGCACCAAGTGGCGAACTCAATTCACCGCAGCGCATGCCAAGGCGCGCACCTAACGTAGGATCCAGTGCCCGAAGCGACATTATAGGCTGGCCCAATGTCTTCTGTCCAGTCCCCAAAGCGGATGCCATGGGGTCCTGATTCGGAAGTTGCACAGTAGCCTCTGTGGCTGAATGCAACCACAAAATCCTGACTGAAGAGAAACGTGTCTAGTGTAGGAATGAATGTAACTCAACTACAGGAGAGGAGGCGTCCATCACCAAGGACTCTCACCATAAACACAAACTGAGGATTTCCTGGTGTGGGAGGAGTTATACGTGGGTCCTCGCAGCTCTGGCCAGTGTGTCCAATCACCTGCCGATACCTACATATCACTCGGTCATCGCTGAATCTGCTCGCGTCCTGTACGCTCCAGAAATTCATTTTGCTACAGTGATAAAACTTGAGGCCTCCAGAACAGCGGCGATGCAATGCTCCGTTACTATCCTAGGCTGCAAATCTACAAATGGACAAGATAGCGACTCTTAATATGGAATTCATGGTGCTTCATGGTGCCTATACTACAACAGTGATATGTTTTCAGAACAATGACAGAGAGAAAAAAAAAAAAGTTCTGCAAGTGTGTATATATATATTTTTTTTCTTTTCCCGTAGAAAATAGAGGTAACAAATTTCTTGACTCTGAGCGCCAATGCTGAGCTATGCATAGGAATGCTTTTTTTTTCGACCCCAATAAAAAAAAATGGAATTAAAAATGAAAAGAAATGATAAATGTACTTTACTAAAAAGGAAAACTAAAATTTTAAAAAGGGGGAAGAAAAAAAAAAAAAACGCACAAAAAAGGAAAGAAAAAAAAATTGAAAATATTAAAAGGGAGGGAAAAAAATAAAAAAGGGAACACGAAGCCCATCCACACCGGGACACTTTGTCAAATTACTGGCGCTCAGACTGCTCTCACCTTCCATGCTACAAAACTGCTTTCACTATGGAAGCAGACAAATCTGGCACACTGATAGATGTCATTTTGTTTTTTCGTAACACACACAAAAAAACATTTCTTACGCACAGAATAAAAAGGGCCCCCTGAAAAAGTAAAAGATGGCAATTCTGTATTTGGCGTCAAAGAGTCTACGCTTGCACAAGGGTGCTCAAAGTTCTCGCGTGGCTATCGTGCCGCCACTCCACAAACTCCGTTTCCCGCCAGCTGGTAATTGCTCAGATTATTATCTTGGTAAAAAGCATGTAAAGCTCCATTTTCCGTTTGGTTCGTTTTTATTTCAGGGTTCTGTTGTGATTTGTATTTTTTTTTTAGATTTTTTTTTTTTTTGCGCTAGTGAAACCACTGAAAAGGTTAGCCATGCATTAAACCGCCCTCCGAGGGGAACGTGATCATCGGTGAACGGTGGAAGGGAAACCGCTGGAAGCCACCCGACTTGGAATCTGTAAGGCAGGAATAAAATCAGAATCTGTATCAGTGAAAACGGAACAGAGACGGTATCAGACAAAAAGAAATCCCTCGCCGACGTCTCATTTCACACAATCATTTTCATTGTAATTTTGTACATTGTGATTTTTGTTTTATCTGTCCCTCATGGCCAGGCTCCCCTCACTTCCTGTCCCTGTGACAAACAAGAAATAGGAACATTGTCACTGGGAGAGGAAAGCACAAAAAACAATAAAACACCATTAACATTTTTTTTTAAATAAAAGATTTTGTTCTTTCTGTAGAATCCTTTTCTCCATCGCCCCATTGAGGGACACAGCTCTGAAGAATCCTGAGACGTAGGGTTATGCTGCTGACTTTATTCTCCTAGAGGCAGCAGGATAACCCTACGTCTCAGGATTCATCACAGCTGTGTCCCTCAATGGGCGATAGAGAAATAGACTTGGACAAGTACACAAGTCAGAGTTCTGACGTCACTTGCTGCACACTTGTTTCAGATCCATGACTCTGAGGGCCAGCATGACGGACAGGTCACAGACATTTTCAAAAGGTGGTGGAAAATGGAAGACTCCATCTCTCTCTCAGCACAGGTTTGCTCAACGATGCTGTTCAATTAACATACAATAGCAGACGTGGTAAAGTGATCCTTTGTTTTGCTCATTCAGGGGAAAGTGACAAGTTGACTTTAATGGCGGCCCCAACCACTGCATACACTCAGCTTCTATCCATCTTCACAAGCCGTCTGGCAGTTGAGGGCGATGACAAGGCGGCCCCCTATCTGGAATGGCAAGGCCGCCCCCTATCTGGAATGGCAAGGCCGCCCCCTATTTGGAATGGCAAGGCCGCCCCCTATTTGGAATGGCAAGGCCGCCCCCTATTTGGAATGGCAAGGCCGCCCCCTATTTGGAATGGCAAGGCCGCCCCCTATTTGGAATGGCAAGGCCGCCCCCTATTTGGAATGGCAAGGCCGCCCCCTATTTGGAATGGCAAGGCCGCCCCCTATTTGGAATGGCAAGGCCGCCCCCTATTTGGAATGGCAAGGCCGCCCCCTATTTGGAATGGCAAGGCCGCCCCCTATTTGGAATGGCAAGGCCGCCCCCTATTTGGAATGGCAAGGCCGCCCCCTATTTGGAATGGCAAGGCCGCCCCCTATTTGGAATGGCAAGGCCGCCCCCTATTTGGAATGGCAAGGCCGCCCCCTATTTGGAATGGCAAGGCCGCCCCCTATTTGGAATGGCAAGGCCGCCCCCTATTTGGAATGGCAAGGCCGCCCCCTATTTGGAATGGCAAGGCCGCCCCCTATTTGGAATGGCAAGGCCGCCCCCTATTTGGAATGGCAAGGCCGCCCCCTATTTGGAATGGCAAGGCCGCCCCCTATTTGGAATGGCAAGGCCGCCCCCTATTTGGAATGGCAAGGCCGCCCCCTATTTGGAATGGCAAGGCCGCCCCCTATTTGGAATGGCAAGGCCGCCCCCTATTTGGAATGGCAAGGCCGCCCCCTATTTGGAATGGCAAGGCCGCCCCCTATTTGGAATGGCAAGGCCGCCCCCTATTTGGAATGGCAAGGCCGCCCCCTATTTGGAATGGCAAGGCCGCCCCCTATTTGGAATGGCAAGGCCGCCCCCTATTTGGAATGGCAAGGCCGCCCCCTATTTGGAATGGCAAGGCCGCCCCCTATTTGGAATGGCAAGGCCGCCCCCTATTTGGAATGGCAAGGCCGCCCCCTATTTGGAATGGCAAGGCCGCCCCCTATTTGGAATGGCAAGGCCGCCCCCTATTTGGAATGGCAAGGCCGCCCCCTATTTGGAATGGCAAGGCCGCCCCCTATTTGGAATGGCAAGGCCGCCCCCTATTTGGAATGGCAAGGCCGCCCCCTATTTGGAATGGCAAGGCCGCCCCCTATTTGGAATGGCAAGGCCGCCCCCTATTTGGAATGGCAAGGCCGCCCCCTATTTGGAATGGCAAGGCCGCCCCCTATTTGGAATGGCAAGGCCGCCCCCTATTTGGAATGGCAAGGCCGCCCCCTATTTGGAATGGCAAGGCCGCCCCCTATTTGGAATGGCAAGGCCGCCCCCTATTTGGAATGGCAAGGCCGCCCCCTATTTGGAATGGCAAGGCCGCCCCCTATTTGGAATGGCAAGGCCGCCCCCTATTTGGAATGGCAAGGCCGCCCCCTATTTGGAATGGCAAGGCCGCCCCCTATTTGGAATGGCAAGGCCGCCCCCTATTTGGAATGGCAAGGCCGCCCCCCTATCTGGGATGACAAGGCCGCCCCCTATCTGGAATGACAAGGCCGCCCCAACCACTGCACACACTCAGCTTCTATCCATCTTCACATGCTGTCTGGCAGTTGAGGGCAATAAGAAGAGGGGCCCCTATCAGGAATGACAAGGTGGCCCCCATTCAGGAATGACAAGGTGGCCCCCTACCAGGAATGACAAGGCGGCCCCCTACCAGGAATGACAAGGCGGCCCCCTACCAGGAATGACAAGGCGGCCCCCTACCAGGAATGACAAGGCGGCCCCCTACCAGGAATGACAAGGCGGCCCCCTACCAGGAATGACAAGGCGGCCTCCTACCAGGAATGACAAGGCGGCCTCCTATCAGGAATGACAAGGCGGCCTCCTATCAGGAATGACAAGGCGGCCTCCTATCAGGAATGACAAGGCGGCCTCCTATCAGGAATGACAAGGCGGCCTCCTATCAGGAATGACAAGGCGGCCTCCTATCAGGAATGACAAGGCGGCCTCCTATCAGGAATGACAAGGCGGCCTCCTATCAGGAATGACAAGGCGGCCTCCTATCAGGAATGACAAGGCGGCCTCCTATCAGGAATGAGCACTTACACAGGGTCGAGGACTCTCTACTCACCACCATGCAACAGTGCGGTGGGCTTGGGCAGGCAATCATCAAGCAATAGCGTGGTCAAATAGGAGGAGGGCGTCTAAGTCCCATGTTTCCTATACTGTACTGGGTAACTTTCTTCGTTCCCAGCATCCAAACAGAACAGCAAGGGAGCAAAGAGTATTTGCTGTTGGTAGGACTGCCATTAAAGTGAACCTGTTACTTTCCCCTGCATAATCAAAGCACATGTTCCCTTTAAAATTAACTCATCCCATTCCTACTGCAAGCAGACTCATTGCGTGTGGATCCCTTTTCAAGCCAGAAGAGTCCATCTGGGACGCCGGACCCCACAGTAAACAAAGTGATGTCAGGAAAGCTTCATGGCCCATGGACAGTTGGGACTAAATATAAACCAATGTGTTCTCTAAGCAAAAGTCTTCCTTTTACCTTCTCGGGCTATATGTCTCTGGCATGGTCCCTCCAGGCACAATGACAAGGGGCAAGCAATGTACTCAGGGGCGGAGCCTCAGGGAGACTTCCTCATAGTGAAAAATGGGGGACCTGACTGACCCCCCTCACCAAACATATTCCTCTTGAAGTATATTGCAGCCCCAATTCCCTACATCAGGAACATGGACAATTGGTGAACCAGCCCTGTACAGTGTGAGCTTTTGGGAGAAAGACGTCTGCCGAGAGGACATAGTAGTCTAAATGTACAATTTGCCTTCTACAATGCTGCCCTTAAAGAGGAACTTTAGCCAGATCTATAAAATGACAACGAAGACACCTTTAGGAATGTTTAGTAATGAATCTACAAACACATACTTCTCGATAATTGCCGGCTTTGTATTCTTAGCATACTTTCTTTTTATTTTCCTCCCCATTCTTCTCACAGTGGCCATTAACTAACAGATTAATCCATCTCCCTTTACTTCCTGGAACTCAGGCAACCCCTCTATCGCTGCTGGCGATCCCAGGCTCCACTGTTCCCGGTGTGAGCCTGGGACCAGCACAGCAGCCCTGCGGCCGGAGATCATACGGAGCTCAGTACACGATCTCCTCTTCTGAATGCAGGCAGTGATGTGTATTACATCACTGCCTGCATTCAGTGTCACTCTCCGGTACAGAAACCGGAGTGAAGCAGGTGTTTCGTAGGGAGAACAGGTTTTTTTCAAAATTTTCGGTACTTTTTTAAAATTATACAGTAAAAAAAAAATAAAAACCCCGTAGTGGTGATTAAATACCACCAAAAGAAAGCTCTATCTGTCCCCCAAAAAAATGGTATAAAATTCATTTCAGTACAGCGCTGCATGACGGAATAAATGTCAGTCAAAGTACCGCAGCGCTGAATACTGAAAAATGGCCTGGATGGGAAGGGGGTATAAACACCCCGGTCAGCAAGTGGTTAATGAATGTCAGATGACTTCATATCCGCGAGCAGAGCTGTATGCTGTTGTGATTTCTAGTGAAAGGGGGGTAAAGGTCGGCTTTAATAACGACCCTTCTCTATTAACCATTTCATGACCAGAGCTGATGCCTAGATGTCCAGACCAAATTCAGCGGTGTCAGCACGCATCGGTTAACTCATTTGCCCGCCTACATTTGTATATTGTATGAGGCAAAAGGCTTGTGATTGTTACGGTACTTTCATACTGACCGCACTTCAATGTGTCTTTAAAAAAAAATCTGTGCAATGAAAAAGTAATTTCTTTCTATGCGCACATAAAAAAAGAAATGCGCTAGCAACAAACCAATGTGAATGTCATGATATGGAGACCACACAATTAGAAACCACACCGATTGGTTCCCAAACATTAGAGGAGATCCGGTGCGGTATGTGGCAGGCCGGTTCTCACAGCTAGGAGCACGCAGGGCTGCACACTC